ACAATACTCGTTGATCGTTTTCCATAAAACTATTACATGCGAGTAATTGTTTGTGTACAGTTTTAGGGTAGAGTTAACCTTGCTCTAAGCTAGGGTTAAATTTACCCTGATGAATCACGTAAGTTTTACCTCCAGGGTTTTAACCCTCAGGATTCGTTGATGAATACGGGTTAATCGCTTTCGGGGTAAGGTTTGTCCTCAAGGGTACATTTAACCTCAGGGTTAAGCCTACCATGTGTTTCATGAATACGGGTTAATTGCTTTCGGGGTAAGGTTTATCCTTAAGGGTAGATTTAACCCTCAGGGTTAAGCCTACCATGTGTTTCATGAATACGGGTTAATGGCTTTCCAGGGTTAAACTAACCCTCCAGGGTTAGTTTAACCCTCAGGGTTCATTGATGAATACGGCCACTAAGCCCCTACTAAAAATGTGAACCATGACTTATCGCCGTAAGAAGTGAGAGTGGCTCAAGACTTACGTTACAGCCTAATACAAAGCAGAAAGTTTTCTGGGATAGGCGTAAATAACTGAACTGACCACTGCAACTGAAGTTTCAATACTATGGCCCTTATAGACATACCAAAGAATGTTTCTTGCTACTGGCAAGAAATCTTAGTTGTTCAAAAATTTCATATAGAAAATAATGACAACGAATGATAAAAAAATTTTAGAGATATAGAAAATAAGCATAAATGTCGTATATAACTAGTTGGAGAGTCACCTGATTTGATCGCTAACAGCTGCGGAACGTAATTTGTTTTGTCCATTTTCTGACTCATTTATATAGACTGCCTGTTAAAAAGAGATATAAGCGATGAATGTGATGAAGCAGTTATGACAAGAATCATATTACTCATATGATCAATTGGAGGTTCCCTTTTGAACCTACATAGAGGGCTTCCAATTTTCTGCAGCTCTTTTTCGCCTTGACCTCCAAGTACTTTTGCGTCCATAATGTGTTCAAACGGTCTCTTACAAGCACTGGGAGGTAACCCTAAAAATCTTTTTTGTTCTCAATTCGATAAAAGATAATGTCAGTTTTTTTTTTGAACTAAAAAGGGAAGGATACTAACTTAGATTTGCCTTTTGAGATGGGACGCATATGTTTGGAATCAGCTTTGAGCGCTGATTCCAAATATGCTGTTCCTAGCTGCTTAGCGTTATTTTGAAGCGAGGTGCTTGCTGTTGTGAGTAACTATCGAATTTCTGAATGTCATAAGACGGCGTGCATATAAGAATCTGCTCGAAAAAAGTGCTATGATGTTTAACTAGCATCAGATTAATTCATTCGATCTCAAAAGGGAGCATCATACAATTGCAAAACCACCTAGACGTCGACACGACGCAGCATCAGTAGGTCGAGGAGCACGCAAACTTTGCATAAAAAGTGACCATAACTCGCTTCAGAAATACTGCTAAGCAGCTAGGAACAGCATATTTGGAATCAGCATTCCAGGCTGATTCCAAATATCATCTAAAAAGGCGAATCTAAGGTAGTATCTTTCCCTTGTAAGATCACTTATGTGTAGTCTACACTTGTTCCTTTATTTATTTGATTATGTACGAAGGCTGAACCATGCAGGACAGCAAACATGGGAAGCAACGCAAATGTTGATGCTTAACATTGACGCAATGGAACTCGAAATATAAGGACCGTTGAAACTCGGCTGTTATTAATACAACCTATTGGTAAAAGCTCGACGCTTAGGCACAAGGAACTAGGCCGAGGAACTAGAGCAGATATGGGATGCAACCATGTGAGGGTGTCAACTACAACAGGGACTTGCAGGAATTAGCCAATTCCAAAATTGTTATTTTGACTTTATGATGGTTGCATATACCAATATGCCTAACGAGTTCCAGAGCCAGAGAAAGGCTTGACCCATGAAACCGGTGTTTATGAAGCTATTAGATTAAAGATCTCATTGGGTTAAGCCTACTCACTAGTCCGAAAGTCACTCAACGCATTCACGAAGCAACACAGTGAATTTGCGGTTGCTGAATACGGCCGCAGTTCACTCTGGTATCTGTATGAATAAAGCTGAATGTCTGTTCGTTTCTCTCTGTGTCAGTCTGGGTGCCTGACTGTGTGTACATATGTCTCAAATAAAACATTTTATCTGAACCAAACTCGTCACACATATACTTTGCTGCAGGTCGAGTGTCGTAGGCTACTTCTCGTCCGAATATCGATTTCATTGATTTTCTGCAAAGTTCACTTACGAGGCTGGGATTTGGAACAGGGAGTAATATGAGCATGCTGATAACGATATTATTGAAAGGGTTGGGCGGCGCCGTGTTTGTCAGCTGATCAATAAAGTACATATCGCCAGTAGAGGGTAAGAAGCTCAATGGCTGGGGTGGGGGGGGAGGGAGAAATTTTCTCCATTAATAGCAATGTCGTCGTAATTTTATGCTACCGTTTATCTTATGTTCTAATGGGATATCACTTGAATTTGATTCTCTCGCTAAAGGCGCTACTTAAGAGCCTGTTAAATTATTCAATTTTCCCATGCTTTACAAATCAGACTCACTTGACCACTTATGCTTGTAAGCAGTTGCATGGAAGTCCTTGCTCCAAATGTTCCCAAATTGGAGCATTATCGTATTTCCAGTCAAGACAATCGTTAGTCAAAAATGTTGTCCTCGATTTTACTAGCACGCGAATCCTTCAATGTATGGCAAAGCAAGAATACACACACCACACACACAAACACACGCACAGCGCGAGACTGAGCGATGTTCAAGAAACCTTGTCCGGATTTTTCGAGGCGCCACTCCAAAGACTGTGAGAAAGGAGCGGTAGCGCGTTACCACTCTGATAGGTGGAGGTCGCTTATCTGAGTGAAGTTGGAGTTGCAGCCTTTTCATTGACAAAAAACCCAATATGTAGAAACAATCAAACTGTTCCATTGCTCTATGGCCACCTTAAAAGTAGGTGAAACAATTTTTCAATGACCAGCACTTCCGCATTCAAATACCTTCTAATCAGAAAAGCTACCCAACTTGGCTCGGCTTTTTGGCAAGGGAAGTACATTATCTGAGTCAGCTTCAAACGCTGAATCCGAATATGCTATTCCTAGCTGCCGTGCATCATTCCAAAGCTAGTTATGGGCTTATTCCTGCGCAAAATTGGCATACTATTTAACATGGAAAACTGCCTAAAATAATCCGCAAGAAAAAGGCCATGAGATAAAGAACACAAATCCAATCTTTTTCCACTGAAAAGAAAATTAATGCAAGTGTATTAGCACTTAGCTGATGATGCCGTGATGCCAGTGACCAATGAGTATGCCAATTTTGCGCAGGACCCATAACGCTTGGGAATGATACGCGGCAGCTAGGAATAGCATATTTGAAATCAGCGTTTGAAACTAATTCAGAATACATATGCCCCTCGCCAAAAGGCCAAACTAAGTTAGGTAGGTTCCCTTGTAAAATCTATTGGCAATGTCTTGATTAAAGATTCTTTTTTAAACAGATATTGCTGCTTTCAAGCAACAGTTGCAGACTAATAACCATGACTCCCAACTCTGCAAGTGCGCACAACTGCACATGAATTTTTCGAGACTTGATTTTTTGTCTTACGAGGTAAGCTTGTTCAGTCAAAGTGGCCTTTATAAATGAAACCAGCGCGTCACTCCGCTTTGCGGAGGTTCGCACTGGCTCCCTATCCGTATGCCTTTCTCATGTTCGCATGAGAATGGCTTTGGAACTCACCACGCGATGCTGAGCATCACAAATTAATCGTAAACAACTGTTCATTCATGAAGCATCTCCATGTAAGATCGGTAACTTTTAAGAAAAAAACTTTGTTGCAAGGGAACAAATGCGAATTTGAAAGGATAACTGGATTTATTCTAGTGTGATGATCGTCATAAGGATAATAGTCATCTTGGGCTACATTTCAGTGCGAAATCTTTTCAGTTTTTTCAAATAAAACCTTGCCAAATCGACTATCTACGCGTCCATCACTTTTTGGCACTGTTTTCGCAAAAAAGCAAACTTTTTGAGCACTTTTTGGGCTAGAATTCATGGCGCGCAGAGTTACTTGACTTTGACTTTATAACTTTGCAAGAAGTCGAAATAGCGACCCAATTTTGCGTGCCAAAAGGCGCGTGGACCCGTTTGATGCGCAAATTTTGAGGGACCTGCTTATCGAACCGGTTCGTCCTTGTGCATGGTGAGCCTACACGCTGGCACGGTATGTTGTGCAAAATTGCAGCCCGATAGCTTAGTTGCAGCTTCCTCTATGAATTTCGTGACAGACAGATTTACAGACAGACACACACACAAAAAAACAGACGGCCTTAGCGCGTTATTATAGTAGGATAAGTACCATATTGAAGAGAAACGCTGACTCCAAATCTGCCTTCTTTATCTGCACAGCGTTCATGCACGAGAAGTTATGAGCGTTTTTTAAAGCCAAAAATTGAACGTACATTTTATATAAAATGATTTGCGAAAATCTTACTAGCCCTCAAATAATGCAAGCAAATGCGATTTATTTGGAAGTATTTTTTGAGTAAAGTGCTCTGATGATTATCGATGCTCCATTAAAAAGCTAGAAAAAGTATTCTGGCTAATTTTCTCATACTTGCTACATTTGTTGCCTCAGTAAGCGCTCATACCTCGTCCATAAACGCTCTGCAGATAAGGCAGGCAGATTTTGAATAACCAATTTATGCCCTTTGATATGGTGTACGTCCCATCTAAAAAGGCCACTTCGACTAAACATGCATTCCTTGATAGAGACAAATCATGCCAGATGCTTGTCTCTTATACACAGGGTGTCCACAAAGTGTGCGAACTGTTCGATCGCTTATAAATCTCTTGTTTATAGCCGATCCTTAGATACCATTCTATAAACCTTGCTTTAGCTTAGATCGTAGTTTGAAACGAGTTACCGATGGAGAAAAGAGTAATCAATGATCAAACAGTGCGCACATTTTCGGGGTACCCTAACAAAAAGAATGGTGCAATCATAACAAAACAATGATCAAACCGGATAACCAGGTGTCCATGTATATATATTCATCTCTTGCTGTAACTGTGCCAACTGCCTTCTGCTTTCTTTAGGCTTCTTTCGTTGCCTTAAGACTTCCGACCGCATATACATCATTACCGGATCTTCCATCGGTGAGCAACCGTTGGGTAGCATCATCATTGCATAAGACACAAGACGGCTGTACATCTTAAATAGAAATTGATGAAAGCCTTGGAGTTTGTACATATTACTTACCGAGGGGTTTGTAATGAACGATTGTAGTATATTGGCAGCACTGTATACGACCGAAAATACTACAGTCATACTGAAATAACCCATTTTGATCGATTAGAGTAAGCTAAAAACGTCCATGAAAGCAACTCACATGTTAAGAGTAGGATCCGTTACCCAATCAGAAGAAATTGCCAAAGTAATCCAGCTTGCAAGCAGCAGCCAAGGTAGAAAAATTAAGAATACAGCGTTACGATAACACTGAAACACGCCTTCTTGTTTCGGTATCTGAGCGCATCCTGCACCTTTTCTACGCTCCACTTCACTAGATAGTCTTCCCCAGAAAGAAAGCTGTCCATCTTCTGACGATATTGGGGGATGTTCTTCATCGTAAAAAGGCTAAAGTATGAGAAAGAAGAGACTGCGAGGGCGGCACAAGTATCGACAAGAACGACAGGAAGCCATAAGCTTGAGGTTTCCTTCGTGAAGTGACCAAGGCAGCTCCATTGTGTGGCGCTCTGTGACATGCCCTTTTTTGCTCAAAATATTTGCATATGATAATGTGACATCAGACCTTATAGTACTGAGCAAAAGCAGATACTAAGATAGATCCGCCAAAGACGACACCTAGAAGCAAAGTTTGCCCCTGAAACATACAAGATAGTAATTTATTTCCCGTCTAATCTCTTTATTCACCGATAATCTCGGAATTTTAACATTGCGCTTCATAGGATTACTCCAGATGTTTATTTGCTTCAAATACGTCACTTTCCATACATTCAAAGCTTCCATTGCAAGAAAGCCGATTCCTAGACAACATAGTGTCTGCTCATGTAATTATGTAATTAATGTAAAATGCAAAGTTTTCGGAATCCCCCACCTAGTGAATACATAGTTGTGATCATGTATGACCACATGTTGCAGTAAAATCGGGACAAGTCGAATAAGCCTGGGTGATGGAAGAGCAGCACTGTCAGTCCCGCAATGCAAAGGACGAAGGAGCGCAGGTTTTGGTAGTAGACTTGCGTGTCCTTAAGCAAAACTGTGGCAGTCACATTAGCGGTATGCGCTTCGAAACACACCAACCCTTCCTGACTTCGGAAAATACAGTTTCATTGCTCCTTTCACGACGAGCGTTGTAAACTCACTCAGTATCAATACCGTTGCACTTCCTCTAACTGAATTTATTATGCAACTCTGAAAAACTACGCTTGACTTTCAAGGAAAACTTCCTAATTCACTACCTTTTTCCCCTTTCCTGTCATCTCGCTGCTTTCTCATTTGCTTAGATGTGTGATTTATGAGTTACAAGCTAGCGACTTTAGATCTGCTAGGAACAAGGTACCGCTCAAGCAAAGTTAGGCGTTTCATGCCTCATTACGATTGTCAAAATAGCGCCTTAAACCGTGCTTCACAGATTTTTGATTTTTTCAGATCTTCACAGAAGTGTAGTGAAACATGTGGTGAGCAGGAAATGTTTTCGGAAAAAAGAAAATGAACCCAAACTGTAAGTATCGCAACTTCGCCTCCTCTTGCATTCCATTCCGCCCACCCAAAATTGCAGTGACGCCTTCTGCCAGGTAAGCAAATTAGTTTACGCAGTATTACATACTTTGTGGAAGTGTCCTGCAGCCGACCGTTTTTCTATTGCATGTGGCGAGGCCAGCGCCGGAGTATTCACGCTTGCCAGAATACGGTCTTTTAAGAAGAGGAGGGATTATAAGTTCTCTACAGTCGAGTAGATTTTCCGCTTAATATAGTGTACTTGCACTGTAGGTGAAATGCGGTAAAACTTGCGCGTAAAAAATTAGCCGCGCCAATAGTGCCCGCATTCTGCGCGCGCAAGTGGAAGGCGTCACAGGTGTAGCTATTTCTTCATGCGCAAATTTTACCGCATTTCACCTACACTGCAGGCACACCATATTGAGCGGAAATTCTACTCGACTGTATATATTCTGCATTTCATACTCGAAAATGAAATTCCACGGAAGGCCAAGACTGGCAAAGGTTGTTAGGTTGTTGTTGTTGATTTGTCAGCTTAGGATGTTTGTTTTCTATTCTGAAACAAAACATGCTCAATTGATTTAAAATTCTGCTCAAAGTTTTTATCATAATCCTACAGTGACAAAGGGAAATTGGTGACTAGTATCTTATAACTGAAGCCAGCTCTACAGAATGGTATCTAGCTTGAAGCTTTTGAAAGAATTTTTTGGAGCAGAGTTTTACCGACCGAACAATACGTCCTTTTGATAAATTCCATTTTCTATGGAAAGAAAAATGCTAGGTAGAAACCAAAATTATCCTTTCATAATACAATTCAAGAAATCTTTGCATCTACAAGGAAAGATTTTGCGTTGCCTCAAAACATCTATTGGTTTCCACCAGGCATTCATTTTGAGTAGATGATTTCGATGTTTTTGTTTGTTACAAATCGTTGTGCAAAATTTTGAGATCGTTTCCGTTGTATATCACAAAAGGCATTTGATTCTTTGATGTTGAATGTTCTATTGCTAGCTTCTTTCGAAGGAAAATGGATAGAGGGAGTCCGTCCAGGGCCCGGCATGAGGTGGCTAGTTGAAAATGCAAAAACGAAGTACCCCATGACTTTTGCGAAGTTTTACGAAGTCCCCTTTGATCCTAGACCAGGGCTCGGCACGAGGTGGCGTCCAGAAATTGCAAAAAATGAAGTCCGCTTTGACTTCAATGAAATTACGACATCCGCCACGAGATATTCGAAGAGAAAATACATGAAAAGGAACGGAACAAAGCAACAACAAAAAAAACGAAGGAGAATCATCGAACACACGCGATGATATTCATATTCTCCGGATTGGCGGCATGATGTATCCATCGTGCAGCAATACGCGCCTAAAGCAGCCTTTCCGCCGCCATTCAAAATTTTCAAGGGGCTATAACTAAGCGGGGAGAAGGGGGTTTGAGGCGGTTTAGGAACCCGTTTGTAGGGTTTGGGATGTAGATGAAAGGTATGTAAAGAAAGTAGGAAAATTATGTGAGTGAGGAAAAATTTATGACTTTTTCTTTCCTAAGCCACCTCAGGTGGCTATCCAGGTGGCTTGAAAGCCACCTAACTCCGAAAAAAGTTGAGCATGCCTTTAGTTCACATAATTTTTTCATAATTTTTCATACTTAGTCCTAACTCCCCATTGCCCATCTACACACTTATTTTGGTGTCATTTCATCTTCATTTCGCTGTAAACAAACCCTTTGTTTATTTGCTGGCGGCATGCCGGCAGCGTGCCGGCCGCAAACCGAAAGACAACGTTATGCTCTTCCGCAAAAACGATATCCCCTTTGCTTTTTCCCCAAAAACGATATCCAGCTTGCTTTCTAAGCCACCTGTGCCGTGCCCTGAGTCTGTCTCGAGCTGTCTGCGCCATTCAGCAACGATAGTATACCAAATCGCGTTAAAAACCTGAGTGGAAGAAACAAAACACCCGCCCTCAAAGGCTTTAGCGACGCTGCTTGCCATGCAACACATTGGTCTATGATAAGATTTAACTACATTGTGAAAAATAGTTCACAGAATTTGAACTTTAAGGGAATGATCTTAGTTTCCACATCGATTCTATCGTTTCAGTCATGCATATCGTGCAATATTTTGTGATACATATTAAGTAATGAATAGGGTTCGCTGCTGTTTTCATTTCCTTGATCCCTTATTCATGGTGAAAGGGTAAAGTTTCCGCCAAAGTTTATGAACGCTCCGCATGCAAGATTTTTTTTGAAGTCAGCCCTTTCTGAATTGAAACCTATTCTGCATTATTCAACAAATGTCCTCAGATTATCAGAGTTTCTTCATATACGGCAAAATTTTGAATTTTTCAAAACTTCTTTACATCTTTTCCATCTGTGCTCAAGTTCTTAGGCATTCTTAGAAAGGTGATATCATTGGCAAACTCTGAACTTACCTCATTCTCAGCAAATGCAAATGAAAAGTTTGACTTAGCAAATTCACAAGCAGCTCCACCATAACCTTCACGACATTCGCAGTATGCCTGAAATTATCTAATCAGATAGTTTAAAACCAAATCCGTCCATTTTCTGCCGCTTAAACTGTAGATTGCTATGCCTGTTTGTTCATTGCTCCAATTGAATAACCAAGTTTCAACAATTTTTTCATTGCTTTTTCTTAGTCTCATATGCACCTACATACCCTTTGGGGAGTGGAGGAGAGCTGAGAGGGTACGCGCCATATCTTGTTTTGAATATTTGTACTTTTTCCTACCTCTCTTATAAAGATTCTTATGTCCTATTCGCTGAGCGTTTACCAGCGGGTATCTAACGAAACACCCATTCCCAGCTATCAGATCAGATCACTCTAGCTCGTTTGGGAGCTTTGGATCGTATGATAGCGAAGGTAACCCTGGAAAAACTCCAAAAAATTAAAACTCAGTAAATTCTTTATGAATTAGAATTTTATGAATTCTATAATTTTGATGGTGCGAAGATCTTTTTTTTCAGAGCTACTCCTGACTTATCTTTTCCCAAACAGACTCGCTTTCATGCATCGTTGAGATTGAGATGGAGGAAGCAGTTATGGAAAAAGACTTTCCACCTTCTCACGAGAATCCTTAGGTACCGAAATTTCATGGATGAGCATATGACCCACTAGCGGAAGGTCAGTAGCTGTGGTTTGCTAATTAATAAACATTTTGTACCAAAACAATTGCTTTCACCCCGAGTTCAATGTTGAGTATGTGATCAGCAAAAAACGGCAAAAAACTGTTTTTTGCTGTTCTGCTCACTGCAGAACTTATGGTTCATAGGCCCCAGCTCCTAAAGGAGCTAGACTGAAGTGTTCTAGCAGCTGGGAATAGGTGTATTGTTAGGTAATTGCTGCTAAAGCAAATGAGGGTCATGGTCTAGGGTATACACCAACAGCTGCGAAGTCTTCCGGCCTCGTCTAAGCACCTAACGCCACACACCCGCGCGAAAACGACGAAAGAGACTTTAACGCGGGAGAAATTTGGCAGGTGGGAGGGGGAGGGGAGGGGGAGGGCGCTTCCACTTTGTGAATTTACTCTCTCATCTTCAAGTGCAATTTCTCGCTTCCGCTGGCTCTAATATCGCAG